GCCAGGGCCGGATTAACCATCTCGGGGCCCCTAGGCACAGCTCGTTTCGGGCCCCCCTTTTTTTGTCACGGAGGAAATGCTTTGCGAACCGTCACCACTGCCGGGGGACAGGGTGGTATGTGGGACTCCCGGCTCCTGCAGGAGCCACTCTTACTTTAGTTTCTTACCAGAGGCAAATGGAGGATATGCTTTACACTGGGGCACGCTGATTACATGGATTAAAGAGGACACCATTGAATTGGTCATATCTTAAGTCCCAATTGAATCTTAATGCTACCCTGGTAGCCTTTAAAAAAAGACAACGCGTAGTCAGGGACTACTTTAGTTCTAAATGAGTTAATTATATTATTATCCTTGTGACGTGTTTGTCTTATTATTTGTAATAAATGAATGAACAATCTTAAACTACCCCTAATCGACAGCCCTAGCACCTGTACCGCCATCGCATACGTACTAAAGTTTACTTTTTAATAATAAAGTGCAATACGAATGGAAGTTCAATAAAACGAGTTGGCGGTCGCAATTGATGCCCGCATTAGAATGAGTGACGGTGGTCAATAACTACCGCGACGCTTGCATTTAGTCAGTCGGCCGTTTGGTGTAGTGGTTCGTAACGGACTACTATGCTAGAGGTTGCTGTTCGATTCCCGCACAGTACAAACGTTTGTGTGCATGAACATTTAGGTATTTAACATATTTGTTTCAGCCGAATGACATCCACTGCTGGGCCTCCTCCAAGGTTTTCCACAATGAACGGTCCTGCGCTGCCCGCATCCAGGCTCTTCCCGCGACCTTCACTAGATCGTCGGTCCACCTAGTAGGAGGCCTGCCCACGCCCCCATCTGTTTATAAATTTAAAAAAAAAAGGATCTAAGTAACTATAGTAACCGTTGTAAATACTATGCTTAGTTTGGGACTAAAATATCCCAACCTGGGAATAAAATGTAAAAAAAATTGTTGATTTACATGGATCGAACGTATACGCGACAAACACGAATATTTAGGATTGCGGCTGAAACTAGAGTAATTAAGTCGAAACTATTGTTCGATAGTTCACAATCACCATTTCCAGTGAGTAACATTAGTTTTCTAAATATCTACTCGATATTGACTCAACAATCTACATACGTATTGTTTTGTACGAATTATATGTAGGTTCTAGCAAAATATGACATTGTACCACTGGTTCTCTTTGTTAACACACCCTTTACAAGGTTTAGTTCACATTAGGTAATATCACTGATTCTATCTATTGATCTATATCTGATTACTAATGTTACATTGTTTCATTTGAGAAAAATACGGCGAACGAAAATAAAATACATGAATAAGCACTCCAATAATACACTCGTAATAATTATAACAGACAATACCTGAAAACGTAAGACAGAGTATGATTTGATTATGATTGTTCTAATCGTATTTATTGGCTCCTAAGAGTCCTAAGATAAAAAATAGATAGTTAAATAAGATAGCCTAGGTTCGTCACAAGATTTTTTCTTTTTTTCTAATTAGATCTGCCTCCATCCATAAACTTCAAATTCTTTCAATAAAGTCCTAAAATAGCAATAAAAGTTTTCGCACTATAAACTTCTCAGGTATCAATTTAAAGGGAAAATTTTAATAAATTTTAAGGCTTCGTTTGGCTTACACTAATAAAGTGAACTAAGTACAAAAATTTAACATTTGGCGTTTTGAATAACGCGAAATCGGAAACTGGATTGACAAACTAATTCAAAAGTACCGAAAACAATATTTTCTGTTGCAATTCATGAAAAAAATATTACACAAACTATTTGTAACTGTTATTTGTATTTGTTAACAGAAACAAAACAACATAAAAATGTTTTCTTGTTACACAGGGTGTTAGGTAAATGGGTATATGAGCCGACACTAGCCCATGTTAACATGGGCATATAAATGGTATGGTTTACATTTACCTAACACCCTGTATAAAATAGTTACAATACATGACTAATTTACATAACAATTGAAAGCAGCTTGAAAGTCAATAAACGACGGTGAGACAAAAGAGTTAATGAACAGCTGCTCCCATTATACCGATAACTCCTTACTTCTAATAACTGCTTCCGACAACTGACGCATTGACAGCGCTATGAATGGTTAACAAAACTCCGATAGCCCGTCCATGTTTAATGTCAAAAACATGGACAGTTAGTGGCCCGTAATTGACTGAACTTATACTTCGTTCCGGCTATTCCAACCCTGCACTTTGCCTCGCATAAATTATGAAACGCCAGTTCTAGGTTATAATTTCGCTGTCTATAATTAGAACTAGCTCGGACCATTTGATTGCACTGGCTGGACGCGGTTAGTTAAAGTACTTTAGAAATTCGTGATATTTGTATTGCAATTAAAAAGTATACGGATTATGCGTTGAATTTAATTTGCCTGATTCTATTTCTGGCTTGCTCCATTTCAAGTCAGTTATGAATGCGCTATTTATTTTCGGAGATGCTAAATAGTCGTTCGTTGTTACAAGTCTTTGTTACCCATCACGTTGGATTTCAATTTTCAGTAAGTAGCTCTAATTATTATAAATATACCTAGTAGATAAGTAGTGCATTTACGTTACACTTTCTCCCCTTTAAACTGAAACAGGTCATTTGAAACGAAGCCTGAAAAATATCTACTACTATAACAAGTCAATTTACAGTCATCAAAGTGAATTAAACCAATTCTGTATAGGATTTGATACATTTCTAATTTGGCTGGCGTCCCCGGGCCAAATGGGAGCAGTCCGCGGGCCGTATCGGTCCATTCGGCCCGCAAAAAGTTTGAAGGCTTTAATTTAGCCGCTGTTAATTCGTGCGCGACCGATTCAAAGGCTCCGACGGCCATTATTAAAAGCGTAAATTGTCAAACAGATGTAGCAAACGACTTTGGTTGCGTCCCGCCTGTTTTAAAACGCAATGAAAATTGCCGTAGGTTTGGCCGTCGCGCAATTTTGTAGGCATTAATTTTGATTGCGCGCCATGCCTGTTTCATATCGATTACTATTAATGACGGTTTCAGATCTTTTGATATGTCTTTAAATGTTGAAAATGCTGCTGAATAACTTTGATTGAGTGTCGTTCTCAATATACTTAATTAATTTGGGGCACGACTCGTTATTTTATTCTGTTCTACCTCTCTTATTTGTCATTCAAATGAAATCACTAAACAAAGGGGTGAAATGAGGCTGCAGTCGCTAAAGAGGGCGGCTAAAAGAAATTCAAATTAGAACAATTAGTCGAGTCGGTGCCGGCACACAATGGTTCTCATTATAGGACCTATGGTCTGGCGCAGAGCTTGTAAGTAGCGCGGTAGGAGGATGTTAGTTACACTTCACACATTAAAAATTCATGAAGCTAATGTGGAAGAGAGGATTTTGTTGAATAAGAATATAATTCTAGAGATAAAATAGAACAATCTAGAGTTATTTTAGTAGTATGTTGTTCCTACGTGCTTATCACAAAACTTACTTTTCAAGCGGAATTCAAGCCTGCGACCGCACTATGCTTGATAACGTCGTTGACGAATTTAAAATCGGAAAACAAATTTTGGCTACAATTTATAATGTCATATTAAATAACCAATTTTAATTACAATAGTCATTCAAGTATCAATATACAGAGAAGCGTTGTGTTGCCATATATGGCAGATGTAAAATTTCGTGGTCAGCGCCGACCATCCGACCAATTTCAGTGTTCGCTGCCAGTAGCAGCCGCTAAAAATTCCACGGGATCAAAGCGCAAGCAATTTCACGATTAAACGAATTTGTTCATAAAGCGTTCCATATTTGAAAAGTAATTTTTGTAAGGATAGAAGCGAATTCAAAAGAGTTTCATGGTATAGGTTCCCCTGGGCAGTCCGGAAAGGCCGCGTGTAGGCAGTGGGCAAACAAACACACGTCTGAGAGCGGTTTTGATGGAAAACTGGTCCCTGAGGCTATGCTGCATGCCAGAACTGGACATATGAAACATAACATAACAATTGCTGGAAGAAAAATTTCATACGATTACACAGAAAACTTGTTCAATAGTAGCAATTATTACTGAAGTAGGTTCGTTCGTTCGTTTCAGCCGAAAGACGTCCACTGCTGGACAAAGGCCTCCCCCAAGGATTTCCTTTTTACTGAATACCTGATTACTGAAGTAGGTAATTTTACTGAAATCTAGATTGGACGTTTTATGTAAACATCTTCATCATGTCTCTTTGACGTCGATCGATCAACCCTCCGGCGTATGTTTTCTGAAGTTCGGATTATTTTTTCCTATCGGATACTATGATCGATTCAAGACAGACAAATATCTATCTGTTGTTTGTGTCAGTCTTATAGGCACTCGAATTAGTCCAACCATCATTTGTGGATTATTCTTATTCTTATAATTCTTAATTGCGTAACATTTCGTCGATGAAAACTGTAGAGCTCATAGCCGACTTACAAATACTCACATGATGATAGTAAAGTTGAACTTCTAACCACTTTCGTCTTTAAGATACTTAATAGAAAACCGTTTTAGTTTTAATTTTTTAGCACTTCACGGGCACTAATGAAACAAAGAAATAAAAACAATCTTGAAACTGTAATTAATGGCAATTTAAAAAGCTTATTAAGCAAAATTAAGTAATAATAATCTTTTAAACATATTGTAATATACCTACCACTGTATTAAAGGTACAGTACCTCTAGTAGGAAAAACTTTCGAGTTCGTTTCGTTGCGTATTCAAAGTGTCATCGAAAAATTTTGTATGAAAAATTAAACAGCGCCCCCTATATTATAGCCGCCCTAGGGGGCGCTGTTTAATTTTTCATACAAAATTTTTCGATGACACTTTGAATACGCAACGAAACGAACTCGAAAGTTTTTCGTACTAGAGGTACTGAAAGCTGAACGAGTCGTGACAATTCAGCAGTTAATTGAATTCAGTGCGTACTTTCTATTAAATATACGTATACTTAGTTACGACACAATCTCGCAAAATTTTCCTGGCTATATTTATCATGAAGTTAATAGAGGATATTTATAAATACAAATTCCTTATAACATAAGTAAGTAGGCCGTCCTTGACTTAGCTACGGAGTCGTATTAAAATATTCGGATCCATTTGGCATCGAAGAAAAAAGCCATTTCACTCGGAGTGCTCTAATGATTGTTGAAAAAATTCCAGGTCCGGTGATTAACGTTCCAAATACCATGATTAATCGTTTTCATTAGCGGCCTCGGAATAACAACAAAATAATTATTCCACTGCTATTCATGAACAGGACCGGAGGATCAACAAATTGTGGAACACATCATTATTTGACTTTGCCACCCCCCGCACAATAAAACTTTCATTTCATGCTTTGGTGTATATTTGGCTACAAATCAATACGGTCCTAAAGTAAATGAATGAATTTATTTCGGAAAAATACAATTTCATAATTACCTAACTTAACTTAAAAATAACAGACTTAACAGTACTATTACTAATCCAGTTCATTGTAATACTAACATAAAGCTTAATACTTACCTTTGTAGGATAATTTGATTTGCCTACTAACCGATCAAAAGATTACATTACCTGAAGAACACTTTTAATGATTTTTAGATCTATCATTATCTACCTACAACTATTATCACATATCACAATCCTTGTTTCCCGAGACCGTATGGAGATTCTGCTGTTGTGATGAAGAAGTAGTCACCAGGAACCCTGCAGAGAACAGAAAACGAATTTAACTTCTTTCTACCTAACTCTAGCGTAGGTAGGTAATAATTTTGTTAAGGGCACTCGCGCGTCTTCTTTCTCTAAGTTATCTAGTTTCATACAAAGCAGAATTTTCATATAAGCGGATGCTGCTCATATGAAAATTCAAAAGGATTTTGAAAGTTTAAACTATCGTTTTTGGCTTTCAAGAAATTTGCCGTAGTGGAAATTTTGACTACATTAAGCACGTTTCATACAATCGCGACACAGCTTTTTATTACAAACCAGCGGCCGCCCGCGACTTCGTACGCGTGGATCCCGTTTTACCCCCTTCATCTATCTTACGCGGTTTAGATTTTTCATACAAAANCATACAAATGTTTTTTCCCGCTAACTCCCGTTCCCGTGGGAATTTTGCAATATCCTGTTGTAACTAAGCTTTAAGTTTACTAAGGTACCTGCATGCCAAATTTCAAGCGTCTAACTTAAGCGGTTTAGAATTTTCTTACAAAAGGATTTTTCCGCTAATTCCTGTTCCCGTGGGAATTCCTAAGTATACTATAACCTGCTTAGGAGTATGAAGAATAATTGTACCAAGTTTCGTTAAAATCCGTTGAGTAGTTTTTGTTTCTATAAGGAACATACAAACGGACAGTCGGACAGACAGACAGACAGACAAACATTTTACTGATTGCATTTTTGGCATCAGTATCGATCACTAATCACCCCCTGATAGTTATTTTGAAAATATATTTCATGACAGAATTGACCTCTCTACAGATGACTCTCTACAGAAGTATAGATAGATATAGATTTCATCCACACGCTAAAGCCGTGGGCAAGAATTAATTAATATATTTTTTTAATGTACTTACGGATCCTCTTTGTGGATTCCAATTTCTAGCACAGTGGCTTCTTTTTCTTCCTTTGACGAGTTTTTCCATTGCCTATAGTTTTTTGCGTAGCTCCCTAGAATAGTGCCTGGATACTTTATGGCATCTATGAGTAGTTCCCAACTTCGGTTGTGGTTACACAAATCTAAAACATGATAATTAACATTGTTAAATTATGAAAATTAAATAAGTTTTTTAGCCTTTTGAGTAAAAATAAATTGATGTTCATTCTGAATGTTCCAAAAATATGTATATTTTCAGAAAATATATTTTTTTATTCGGTTTATTAATACTTATTCAGGTGGGTAACTTTGAAAGCTAAGCCTTGTAACTACGAGTAAATAGAAACGGAGATAAAGTTGGAATTATCTGTAGCAATTTTCAGAGTATTATTCAAGTGGGATTACGGCTGAGTTGTTGCTTTTGTTATAAGTTAATTTAGCTCTGATAAGGGATTTTCTATTATTTTTCTCAGAAAAGCAAAGCCTAGTCGTCAACAACACTGAAGATACACTCTTACTAGTATTAGAACGAGCTAATTAGTTCTGAAAGTAACGCTGTAAAGTCGTCTACAAATATCTACTCAATGATACCTATTCATTTTTGTGAACTTAGGTAAGTACAGATTTGGCAGAATCGACAAAAAAATAATAATAAATAAAAATAAAAAATATTAAAATGACAAAGTTATTGTTTAGTTAAAAGATGTCTGACGATTGAAAAATATAAAATCTTATACATCGTTAACATTGAGATCCTAAATACTCGTAAATACAATCATGCTTACCTTCTTTGGAAAACATGGGATACGACTTGTTACTACAGCCAGGTTGCACCACGGTTCCAGGCCTAAAATTGGGCCAAAAGTCGACTGTGCCCAGTGGTTTCTTGCAAGCGTACTTGCTGGGGTCGGAGTGTATGACCGACACAAAGCCCGCGGACTCTGGGTTGAGCCGCATCATCTTTGGCCTATTTTCGAAACTCGCACTGGCTGGGTCTAAACCTGTAATCCTGAAAACATATGTAAAGGTTAGCCTGAATCTTAGAAATGTTATTCTAACATTCAGGCTCATTATACCCACGTAGTACAGATTTAGAGCACATTCCCTGTAAAAGCAATTATTTACTAATTGTGTGGTAGTTCTTATAACGTCTAATGAGCTAGGTACTTTTGCTAAAAATACAACTAAGTAGCTCATTTCAATCAAGAATGACGACGTAAATAAGGACACTTTTACTCGTAGTCTTTTATTCATCCAAAATTCGAAATAAGGTAGCGCTCAATGTTTTACATTTTCAATTTATCTCGCAAAAATCTTATTCTTCCAACTCTTTCAATTCAGTATTTATTGCTGATACGATCTCCGGAGTATAATAATCTTCGTTTTTTACGTACGCACAGAAAATATGCGACAAAAAGAGTGAAAGAACACACTCACCATGGCAACTGGATCCCTTTCGTCAATAAAGTATTGCCGGCAATCCCGAAGATATGAGCGCCGAGTGAATGGCCCACGAGGTGCGTCTTGTTCAACGCGAGCCCGGCGGCCGACATATTCTGTAGCGTCTCGGAGAAAATGTAACCCAGCTGCAAGATCAAAGCGATTTTTCCAATAATTGGGTAGCTGACACCGCTAACCAATACGTAGGTACTTTTTATGAGCTGTCATTCCTTTTGATTTTGTGTGACTATAGGAAACTTGAAGTAATTTTGGTAACATTGTTTTAAATCATATCATATAATAAATAATCATCAATTTTTTAACAGTAATGAACGAGTATTAATAACTAATTACTTAAGTTTTCAATTAATTAGTTCAAAATATAAATCTATATTTGGGAAGGCTCAAATAAGAGCGGGCATTGGACCAATTTCATCATAGGTACTTCAACTGCAGAGCAATGCAATATGCATTATCATATTAATTAAGCAAAAAATTTCGAATGTGCATTGTGCAATAAATACTTACTCGTATTATGCATATAATATTCCTCAGGAATTCAGTTTTTTACACAATAATGAAACTGAAAGTAGAACTAATGTAACTAAAGTCTCTAAGCTAATCTTTAAGTAACGCGAAATATTTAAAAACCTACACTTTGAATAAGTATAATAGATGAAAAAGGACTTTATTTTGCATTGCATTATAATAAAATTGGTGATCTGAACGACAAAGCACATAAACCATTTAGTTATAGGCAGATCTCGGGGGATGCGAGATCCGATAAATCGAATTGAATGTGAACTGTATTAACGTACAGTCGGCTACACATTTTTGTTGTAAAATAACACCTAAAGCTTTACTAATAAAAAAGCCCTTATAAGATACCGCAGTTTTCCATGATGTGGCATGTGGCGTCTCAACGGGTCATAAGTAATTAATTAACCGTTTTCTACTAAACTGAAAACCCTTAGGTATTTGCATAAAATACGTACCCTTTTCGCATTAGGCGCTGCCCAACTCAGATACGAACTGACCATGTTAGAATTCGAAGACGCCATTTTATCCCAATTGAAGAGCACGACGTTGCTTTTTCCTTGTTCCAAATATGAGTTTATTACCGCGGTTACCGCGGGCCCTTGGGGGTGACCTGAAATCACAGACAACTTGAACCCACAGAGGCTGCGATACGATCGCCTGATGGCTAAGGCATACTGTCCACGATTAGTTATTTTGACGTACTCGTATGCATGCAACCTACAAATAATGATAGGCGTATTTACCCGACTGTGCCAGGTTTATTTATTATTATTTTATTTAATAGGACAATCAACAAGTCTTACACTGAATCCACATTGGCAACATTTGTTAACTTAATTACATAATATAAGTGTTACACTAATTTGAAAATACATTGCCGCTTTACTTAAACTTGCCTTTAAACTGCAATCGTCAATTGACGATAGCATGCGCATAATGTGTGACTTATGTGGACAATAAGCCTTAGTCATCAAAGGATCAGGGTTATTCACGTAATGGAAAAAACCTGGTGTGTACTGTGCTCGAGGTATATATTTCGGTGTAGCGTGTATCAAATGTCAATCACAATCTCATCGCAGTTTATCCCTTTATAAAAAAGTCCCTTTGACTGTGCACGCTGCGTCTGTTTAGTTTACGGTTCTGTGTCTAAAATATATTATTCAAGGAACAATCTCACAACTACCCGAACTGCTGACCGCTTTGGGGATTTTGAGCATTTTGTACAAGAACATTTATGACAAGGGTTGCATTTGCAAAAATGGGGTGACATTCCATTGCCGCTATGTTTTCGCACGGGGCTTTAACCTCGTTATTGGATTATTTATAAAGTAATTCAGAGTTCCTAATAGTTTTAATTCACATAAAGAACTGTACTCGGAGGAGAAACACTGCCAACGTGGAGAGATATAGTAGAGAGAGAAATCAATATTTTAAAATAGGTATGTCATGTAATAAGATAATGTCAGATCTCATAAAATTCAAAAACACAAATTGTATAACGTAACGAATAATACCTAATTCTCACATTATACCTAAATGCTTAAATTTTCAGCTTAGGCGGAGCCAACCATAGCCATATAGAGCTTAGGCCTTGCCCAATTTACAATAACTAGCACGTGGCTTACTCCGCGTATTTTTCAGTCAGTCACAGGAAAGGCTTAGGTAGTTTCAACTTTTTCATACAAACCTTGAACTGACAATTATTAAAAAAAGAAATCAGCCAACAAGCCCGTCGTTATCAATTGTAACTCCGTCAATCATGTTGCAANCAATCATGTTAGTTTTTATTTATACACATAAGACCAGTTTAATTACAAACCTGTAAATCCATGAGCAAAAATAACTGTGGTTCGGCTAGCGTTGTACCACGATGTGCTGAAGATATCCTGTGCTCTTTCTAGGGGCAGCTCCGTATACTCTTCTATTGTACTACAAATAGGAAGATCATTAATATAGGCAGATTCATTTAAACTTATTTATAATCATAAACATCAAATGTAACGTACCTGTAAAAGTATCTCAGTTTTGCAGGTTCATCGCCTAAAACTGTAAATTGTGTTTCATTGAACAAAATGGACAAAATAAGTGTAAATTATTGTGATATCTCTCCAAGTATATTATCAAATATCGAAAAAAGAATGCGAGATTTGGAGAAGACCTCAGATCACAGGAGACACGTCTAGATAAGCAAAGCAAAAGTCTACTCTAAGAATGAGTGGCACCACCTAACCTTAACCGTAACTATGCTATGGCCATAACCAGTTTTTTTGTATGGAGTTTGACAGAATTTTGATTTTTGTTAATGTAAGATGGTGCAACCCATCCTAAGGGTAAACGTACGCTGAGATACAGCTTAGCAGACTACGCAATGTAGAGCAGATTTAGTCAAGTTCAATAAACTAAAGATGTTCCGAATGCGGTGGGTATGTGACAATGTCACATTCCATGTCTCTATCGGATTCGGATTAATTTGTTTGCTTTATACCTGAGTTGGTGAACTCTGCTCCATATAGGTGCGCAGGCAAGATTTGCGTTACAGTATTTAAAAGTATTTTTTTATAATAAAAGCGTTACGACATTTAATTTTGTTTTTTTGTGCAGTGAAAGCCTAAAAAACAAGTAGCAGTATGTTTAATGTTTTATGGACCAATCAACGCTAATGTACCTGCTACAATAAAATGCATTTATGGATTTATAACATTGGTTGCAGTGAGTGAATGTTTATGAATAAGTATTTATGTACCTACTTGTAGCATTGGGTCAGATTAATTTACGACACAAAATATTTGTGACTTTTCTAGTTAAACAAAATATACCTAAGTTGACAGTTAACATTGACTAATGGGTAGGTATCAGGTCTTCCTTCTTTCATTCATAAACTCGACTCACTGTAGAGTCACTTGTTCATTATCTTTTCAGCTTGACAATTTAAAATGAAAAAGGAAAATAGAAAGTGTTTCGCTGTAATAACCCGTATTACGAATAACTTAACGCGGAATTTCCAATGTCACAACATGCAAACTTACCGAGTCCGATAAGCACAAAAAAATTAAATACACCGGTGAACATTTTGCCGAATTTCCTCGATTTGTCCTTTGGCGAATCTTGGAGTGTTATATAGGGGCCGGTATCAACGTCCTCACGCGTTACCAATCGCCTTGGCATACACCTAGCTGATTACAAGTGTTATTAAATTAGGCTTGATATTTGTTAAAGACAATGTCGCCCATTTCAGATTATCAGCTGCCTTCGAAGTGTAAATATTTTCTTTTTTGATTCAGTCACTTCACTGCTCACTTTTTGGATTAGACTTGGCACGTTAACAAATATTGACCATTGCTTGTTTGCTTAGCCAATTTTGACAAGTAATTCTAGAATACACACTACGAATAGTCAATACAATTCCACACTGAACAAATCTAAGTATGTAAATAAATTGATACATTGGGGGTAAAAGCGTGAAACGAGACACATAATGCGTGACCGACACTCGTAATATCCATATAGAAACTTGCTAAATATTCAAATTGACTAGCTCTGTGTATTTAGGATTTGAAAACCACGGCCAGAAAATCCGATCTAATTGAATTCAGTAATTCTCTTCATTTCAGTTTCAGTTGTGGACTGTTTAAAAAATCTTGTATGGCTTAACTACAATAAAAAAAAACTTGGTTAAAAATACTGACCTGGTCGCATACAAAACAATGAACTACTCGTACTTAGGCCAGGAGTCGGCAATCTGCGAGGTTTAAAATGTAACATCCCTATTTTATACACTCAGAGCGAAACCCCTACAAATATGAATTTATAAGGCTTGGAGTTAATATAATTTATTAAACTTGGAGCCAAAATATAGACTGATAGAGATACCAGTGTCTTTTATCCGCTTCGTTATTTTAATAGCTACCACCAACCACCATCTTACCCAAGTATAGGTACGCCATAACAGAGCATTGATGTGTTCCAGCAGTTGAAAGCCAGTTCATAGGTGGTTGAGGATTCCGGGTGTAGCTTGCTTCCACCTTCGACCTGATTATAATTTCTATGAAGAGAATCAGGTGAAGTGCAGGCCAAGAGCTTCATCGTTGTGGATAAAAAAAACTCTAGATGATTAAGGAACCGGATCGTGAAAAGTTGCTTGAGCAAACTTATAAAAATAACGACTTTTCGTGTACTTGCTACGATTTTTATTTGATTTGAATCTTGCGGTCAGTTGACTTTGAATGGAACCTACCATTGACGTCAAATGCGGGTATTTCCACACTATGGAGAAACAGTATTTTGAGAAGTCATAAAAGTATCTCAATGTGGTGGTGTATCAAGATATTAAATTCAGAAAGAAGGTTCAACACCGATGAAATATAATTTAGGTACCCTATAACTAATTGAAGGGCGAAATACAGGTGTGACTGACGATTTATTTAGGTACTCTGAAAACTATGAAATTCACAATTATATCTATATTGTAAATGGCCTACTTTCATACTTCTCCAAAATTCTCCTTTATGCTGCAATAAAAATATTGACCGTTTACAAAATTCTGATTACTCAAATTATGATAAACCACGAATACTGTGTCGTCTGTACTAAGTAGGTAGATACATTATTCCAGGAAAACTATAACGGTTAAAATAGATCACTTAGTTTTAAAGTAATAGTCGTATAACTCATTAATTATTGTATTTTTTTTTACTTAATAAAAATTCTTCCGAAATAGATATATTGTGGTAACGGCGGACAACTACGGAACCCTACATTGCGCGTGGCACGACACGCACTGGCAATTTTTTTTTATTATAAAGCTAAAAGTTCTTCCTTTCGTGTATTCTGCTACGTTTCTATCAAGGAATGTGTTACGCCTAAACAACAATACCTAATTATGTACTTTTAGGTCTTATCTTCAAATCAGATAGTTTGTCAAAGAGTGATAAAATAATTGTAGTAACAAAACGCAAGGTTTTCGGGTCAATGTCATCTAAAATAAACATTAATTATTGTATAAAGGTAGGTAGGTAATGGGACTATTGTCTCGTTCTCACCACTTGTTTCCAATTAAAGACAGTTGCTGTATCTCTAGCAGTTCTTCAAAAATGTGCTAAAAGCTACTGAAAAATTGTGAGTATCCTTACTGCAGGAATCCACGTCCCTACCTGGACCGACGATCTGGTAAAGGTTGCGAGAAGAGCCTGGATGCGGGCAGCGCAGGACCGTTCATTGTGGAAAACCTTGGGGGCGGCCTTTGTCCAGCAGTGGTCGTCATTTGGCTGAGACAAACGAACTATTAATTTGCTTATTAGCCTTGACCTATTAATTTCTGAAACAGCTTAATGAACAATAATTTATCGGGGAACGCTTTTGCTCTACCAATTTTTGATTAAAAAAAGTATTTATGTACTAATATGTTGCCGTCAAGGCAGTGTTCACTACTTGTATTTAATTGTTATCCGCTAAAACCATTATTATAATACGTAGTAATGGATCCTTATTATAATAATTCCAAGGATATATTGAGGAAAGTTTATGTGCAAGCAAAATACGAGTTTCGTAATATGAATCTGTCTATAAGTGGAAACTTGTAATTGTCCTTATTATATTTTTAGCAACTCGCACATTCTATAGTTAGCTGTAACTTTCCTTAGAGGTGTAAATAAAAAAAAATTTCTTTAAAAATTAAAAAAAAAAACTAAACTGTCTGAAAACCAATAATACTTCTAGTTTTAAAAGGATCAACTGATTGAACTGATGGTTAATTTAACTAATTATTATCAATATAACCCAGCTTTGATGTGCAATGAATAGAAGTGAAATACTTAGGTCTTTTTCATCGCTGAAAAATATTTAGGTACCTACTTAGTTATGTATGTACTTACAACCGTCAAATTGAACTCATCATAATTATATCTTTATCAAAAACATTATATGCATTGACTATGGGAGGATATCACAGGGTTGACCAATAAAACCACATAATACTTTTAACATACTATTTTTATTTTTTATATTAATATTCTTCGTAATCACGTTATAATATTTTCGCTTACAATTCTTAATTTGGAATGGTATTATGTATATAGTTTAGCTTAAAAATAAATAAAAAACTCAATGTACAACTTCAACGAAGGCATGCAATTGTATGGTTTGCTTAGCAACACAAGGAACATGGCAAAGAGTTTAGACGAACGCGACTCTTTGGTTTGGTTGAGATGATTGACGACGGATTCTCTAAACAGCGTAAGCCATTTTACAAAATTAAAATTAAAAGTTAATTTGAAGAAATAATTATTATGCAGAAAAACATGTTAATTTAACATCACTGCAAAGCATTCATCAATCCTAAATATCAGCGTCAAACTAAACGCAGACGCAACGTTTCAACGCACAGACATGTATCACTTAAGACTACGTTAATTTTTCTCATTAAAATTGTTATTTGTACATAAAAATAATACAGTGCCAACAACCATGATAAACTATAATAATTAAGTTATAAATACTACAATGGATACAAAACAATATAAACATTTAAATCACTCTATGCTAAGTAATGCAGACAACAACCTGCTAGCCTGAACAGGATAACACTTTCAAATGTTTTTTCTTAATTAATAAACAATCAGAAACGAGGAACATTGCACCAATAAATAAAAGTACGAAAAAAAGAGGAAGAATAAAGTAGAATTATAAGAAAATGTTAGTACAGGACAAACAATATAAAATAAGAGATTAGAGAGAGAATGATGTACCCAAACAAAAAATAATTAAAAACTGAAATACAAAATTGTTTCTTAAAACAAAATGGATAAATCAGTAAGGGTACATCCTGAACACAGGCATGCAATCCGATACATTAGTAACAAACTTGCACATGAAGAAAACGACAGCGACATTTATTCATTGGCGCAATCAGCAGGTACATTAATCACTTTCCTTCAACACATAGCCTAATATTTTTATTCAAGTACAAATTTTCGAGGCCTGAATTTTGGGAGAAGCAGATACTTAAATATTATATAAGTGCGGAGCTACTGCCTCACCTTATTTCAGCTACTTTATCCACCGATATCAGAAATGTAGTCGATAAAATATCGAATAAGCTAATTGAGTAACTCCTATGAGCTATATTAATATCTACAAGGTATCTAAGGTATCATTTTGTAATATCATTTAGGAGCATAAAATATCACCTCCAGCTAAATCGGTCAAGAAAGAGCAAACACGCATTACAACTTATCAGTGAGTTTCGAAGCTCATATATAATTTTATTCGTAAGTCCATATCAACACGTGCATCGTGATCTTTCACAGCTGACAATCCTCGGTCGAGCTCGGTCCGACGCATCATTCGTACCATAAATATTCGTAACGACTAAGTAGACATTCCGGTTGGGTCCCACGTTTTCATCTAAAACTATGACTGTAACATGCAAAAGCTATCCGGCAAGAATATCAAATCGGGCCGCATCGTCGCTCGGGCGAGCTGATATTCCGCGTAGACGGTGGGTCTACGGCGCGAGTGTGGATCGTCTGCGAAACCTCGACCCGCTTCCACTTCACATTACCATTCTAAAATTAAAATAACTCAATCACGTTACATAACGTATCAGTAACCTACACGTAGTGTCACATAAGCTTAATATCGTTGTTACTTTTACCAATAGAATGACAGTAGATCTTTGTATGCAGAGATGCAGAGAAGGCAAGCCGTTCTCAGGCACGAATCAGTCAAACAAACCCGTCGCCGTACAAAGAGGTGAAACGGTGGGGCGAAAGAATTTCGAGGACGATCTACACGAGACTAGTATATCACGTTCACGAACCACATCACCGAGGCGTTCAGTACTGGCGGTCATCGTATATGTAGATGGCCTCGCCGGCGGATTCCTTGAGGGGGGGCGGCGGCGGTGGGAAGTCGAGGTCTCCGGGGCGGAAGAGCTTGGAGGCGTTGGGCGCGGGCGACGCCGGCGCCGGCGAGCCGCTGCCGGGCGAGCCGCCGCCGCGCCGCTTCACGCCGCTGGGGGACGCGCCGCCGGCCGTGCGGAACGAAGACCGCCGGGCCAGCCTGGAGAGACACTAGCGTTAGGTATTGCACCAATGGGAATTTAGCTTGAAACCAAAAATTAAAAAGCTATCGCCATCAGTAATGAAAAGTATTGACACCATTTACAAACAATTGCCTTTACAAGCAGGCCTTTGTCCAGTGGACGTCATTTGGCTGAAAC